CCATCATGGGTATTGGCTAACATAACTATCAAACATATAAAGAAGGTTTGAACAGCTCTCAATAGTGCAATTTGACTAATCATGTAATTTCGAAAAAGCTGCTTTGGAGATATGTATTATATATGACCTATCAAAAATGCTTATTCAAATTGTCTATCTATCTATCTAACTGGTCTACTTCTGTCACTTAGTTTTAAATACTGTAAGGCATCCTATTTTATAATTATGTACTGGAGTCATAGCTATATTAAAGCAAGAGTTTATACTTTATTGGATGGCATATAATGAGAATGTACTTTTATTAATGTATATGATGAAACCACTATATATAAAGGTATCAATGAACCACTATATATAAAGGTATCAATATGGGCAACAGAATATTTTAACCATATATAACCATATTAATGACAGCATATTGTCAGTCGTGTATGTTACCAATGCCATGGTTTGCTGATAATGTGTAGCCTTATGTCATGTATTTGTGTGAAGGTGTAAATGGACCTGTGTGAAGGATGGAGTACACAAAGCCCACTCAAAGCCATAAAAGCAAGATGATTTGTTCTGGAAGATTTCAGATTATGCAGTAAATAGAGAATGACATTTATGAAGAAGACACAACAAGGTATGATTTTCTAAACAAAAGATGGTTCCTGAAACAATGGTAAAAGTACCAGGAAATGTGCAAAAAATGCCAAGATGAGATTGACTAAGCTTTGATGGAGTGGTCAAGCCTTGTTGGAGATTAGAATACTGTATGAGAACTGTAGTACTTTGGAGCCATCACACAATGAGATACTTTACGTGGTGGGTATCCAATTCTTATGGCTCTCAAACCTAACCAGCTAGACTTTGAGTTGAGGTGATATGCATGGGTGTAGAGTTTTTAGTTCAAAAAGTGAAGAATAACATTTCTTAACCTGAATTTGTTTCTATGTGTCCTTAGTACTGATAAACAGAAGTAGCACTGGAAGTGAAATAAGGGTTCAGCATGATTATATATAATTATTTGCAATGTACAGATAGTCCTCATTTAGCAACTGCAATTGGTTCCAGCGAAATGGTCGCTAAATGACACGGTAGCTAAGCAAACCACATGACTGAGAGAGATTTACTCTGCCCCTTGCCAGACTCTATTAACCTTGTAAATACTAATATAAGCACATATAAGAAACATTGCTTTAAGAGAAGGAATCAAAACCAAAGAGTTGAATATCCAGTTGCTTTTTGTCATCTTAAGAATTAGAATCTGACAGAAATATTTGGAGGAACTCTGATGGTACATCTAACTTTGAGGCAGTTGCAACTTGTGCCCTCCTACCCTAGAAAATAAGGATCTGATAGACATACTTTCTTGAATATGGGGGCTCCAATTAGTTGTTAATTTTTGGTTCCTATAAAGAGCCAATTTACAGCTATTCTATGAATCATTTATAAGAGCTTGTTTACATTTAGTAACATCTGACTGGTTAACTTTGCTTGTCAGAATGAGAATGTACACCTTCTGTAGCCACTAGTTATAAAATGTAAATTACACATTAAGCAAAAAGCAAAAAATAGATAAGAGTTTCAAAACCCCATAGACTTTTTTTTCTGTATCTGCAGTTAGATAATATAAAAGGTCATTAAGGAAAAATATGCCTCTTTCTTGTTAGTGTTTTAGTTTGCTACTCACATGTAATTCCTATTTTATACAGCTCTCTGAATTTTTGGTTATAACCTTCTCCTGGAACGTAGTCGCCAAGGCCAATGGTGCTCAGAGAAATGAAACAAAAATAAAAAGATTCCAGAAAGTTCCAATCATCTTCCAGGACAGAAAATATTATTGCCGGGATAAAGAAAAAGCATGAGACGGTCACAAAGCCCAAAATCACTGCATGGATGATGGCCACAATTTGCTTTGAAAAGCCCCAGTGGAGGTGGAAATACAGCACAGGCCGCCTGGTGACATAGACTATGATGCGCTGGACCACTGCTGTCAGGAAAAGCAGGGTGAAGGGGATCCCGATGACTGAATAGATGATGCAGAAGGCTTTTCCTCCATCTGACAGAGGCACAGTGTGACCATAACCTGTAACATAAGCACAAGGATAAGAGTGAGACTTGGAGATTTACATGTGGGAGAGAGCTGCTAAGTTTGAATGAACTGTCAGAGAGCAGACTTAAATTGGTGGAGTGGGCCACCTCAACTTGCGGTTGAAGTGCAGAGAAGATTTACAACATTTTACATCACTGTCTGTACTTCGTTAAAGATCATTCATGTATACCACAGAACAAAAAGCAAAGAGAAAGAAAAGCTGTATTTTGAAATTTGGAAAGCCATCCTGTAATTGTTCATTCAACTCTTATCTACACTATTTCTGTGCGAGGAAAGTGAGAGCCAAGCTCAGACTCCAATACTTATCTGGAGCTTCTAAGCAAAACCTTCATACTGGAAGAAAGGGGGGGGGGTCCATTTGAAACAAAAGTATATTTCTGTCATCTGTGGAGGGGGCATGAAGAAAGCACTTACAGATACTATCACTAGTCACTCTTTCCAATGGGACTATTTCCACTGCTGAAATTTAGTTTCCATTTGTTAATATGGTCACTGGGATGCATCTGCCAACAAAAAACAGCCACTAAAGAAAATGTAGTCAATTCAACATGGGCAATGGGAAAGTCTAACACCAATATTAATTTATTAGCCTAAATGTAGAGAACTGTTTGCTTTTTTGTCTGTTTCTCCCCAAAATAATTCTTTTCTATTCTTGATAATATCTTTGAAGTTATTGCAATCAACTGGGTTTTTTCCTCTTCCTCTCTGGTTTACTGTACAGCCAAACTACCAAAATCTATTTGTACAGCTTAGAGGTAAATAACCCTTTGGTGTCTGAGGGCTATACAATTCTTTTTTTAAAATGGGGAATACTGAGGGCTACAGGGTGGAGGCAATATGGTTAAGAGGTCACACAAATGGGCAGAAAGGTTTCGAAAGTGCCTGGAGTTTTTAAAAGGTCTGTTAGGCCTTCTGAAAAACTTACATGGTTATTTTATTTCTGCTTTTTTCCACCAAAAATTGGCAGAACAGAGTGTCGTTTTGCATTACTTTGTAGTGTTATGATATTAGACAATTCAGAAAAGGTGTTCTGGATTCAGTTATCTATTTGTGATAGATGGATGGATGGATGGATGGATGGATGGATGGATGGATGGATGGACAGACGGACAATTTAACATGCTTCTGACATGCTAATGTACCAGAGAGAAATTAATAGTCTCTTTTATCCAAATTAGAAATCACAAATTAGGGTAGAGGAATATTAGCCCACTCCTTAAAAAGTGCAGTTCCAGACTTACATTTCTTGTTCAGCTTACAATACATAGTATATAAGCTACCATGCAATATCAATTTTTGAGTTGGGTGACAATATAAATCCTTCAGATAAAACTATTTAAATAAATCAACTCAGAATGAATAAAAGAACTATCAATGCAATGTGGGGGCCTAAATAACAAATATGCAAATATGCACTCCAACCACAATGTATTACTTACTTTGTTTCTGGGCATCCAAATGCTGAATAACAAAATTGAAAACTGATATAAGTTCCTTGCAAAGTCAAGTTGATTTTCTAACATTACAGACTGACTGGAAAAGAAACAACCCAAAGGTTTCTGCCCAATAAAAATTAATAACCAACACAGAAAAAGTAGTCAGGCTTGAAGGCTACTTTAAGACCTCTTGGTAGAAAACTCACAGATCTCTTGTTTAACCTGCCACACAAGGTACTATCAATAAATGTTATCAGAGTGAGGCAGTCATTTACAAGCTAGGGCTGCCTCCTAGCACAACAGCTAAATCAATAAAAATGGTTAATAGTAAACATATTTACATGAAGGATAAAATGCTCCAGCTTGGAGCTTTCTATCAATTAAAATTAATTCCATCAATTAAAATGCTCCAGAACTTTCCATCAATTAAAAGCATTGAGTACTACTTTCCAGTGGTTGTCTGCTACACCATGAGTTTATTTTTAAAGCCCGTATAGTAGATGGTTTTTGAAAATGCTGTTGGATCTCAACCAATTGCATTAGGCCCCAATTCTAGTTATGCTTCTAACAGCCTACAAAACTTGCATGACTCTGTTAATAGGAAGCTATTAATTAGCAGTATTTATTTTGCCAAGTATAGAATGTTCAGGAACATGGAGAGTTCAAGGTTTCTTTGAAGCAAGAAAATCAATTTAATGCTATGCTTTTTCATCTCCAGCTGTGGCATTTACAAATGTGCATCAATTTTTAATGCTCACCCTCCTTAATGAAAGCTCTTGAAAAACATGGTTTATTCCTAAAACACCGTGGCAATTGCCAGCTGTGAAACTAGTGCCTTTTTATGGCCCTGCTTGACTTGTCTTCTGATGAGGGGGAAGTAGAGCCAGGGACATCTAGGGATAATAGTCCTGGAGGAGGGTCTGTGAAACCAATGACTCTGGATGAGGCAAATCCAGCACTTTCGGCCTGCACCCACTGACAACCTCTTAGACGCTGAACTTCACCCCTCCAGTCCTAAGCAGAGGCGTGTTTTAAAGATCCAATAACAGAAGGCTGAGCTCTGCAGGTCAGCCAGACTGGCCAAAAAGGAGGTCAGCAGGAGAGTAGACTCTAACAGTGTCAAAAGAAAACAGTAGACTCTAACAATGCTTCAGCTGGGAATTTGGGTAGAGGCCCACCTCGGCTTACTTAGTGGCTTCAGTCGGTGGGAGAACAATTTTTCAACCCTGAGCTCTGTTAGGTTTACCTTGCTATGCTGTGCTGTCTCTGGAATTCAGGATTCCACCTCACTGTGTTTCTAGTCTTCTGTCTTGGATTTGTTGCTTATTTATTGGATTCCTGGTCTCACCCTGGCCCAAGCCTGTGACTGCATTTATAGTTGCCATCTTCAGATACCGGTAAAAAGGACCCTTTTCTGCCTGAGGTTGCATATCACTGGATGGTGGCAGGCATCCAGCTTGCTCTCTGGTTGGCTACTAACCGGCAGGACTGGCACAAGGAATGCCAGCTGCATGATGCACCCGTGCAGAATTGTGACTCAGCCCAGGAGAAACCGATGTCAGAAGCAATTAACCCAGTCCAGGCTTCTAACAGGGGTATATGGTATTTGTCAGCAGCACATGAGTAGTAGGGTTTGGACTACAGCTTGACAGTAATACATTGGCATACACTGATATATTTAATAAATCAAGTATCTAACAAGTCAGGAAAATGTTCTGTAGCCTGGGAAAGTTATTTCTTCCTGTACAATGAGCAGCAGAAATCCTGCGGGAAATAAAGTGAATCAAATGTGTAGAAGAATAAGAGGGGAATAAAACAGAAAAATGGGTTACATATTTTCTCCTCTAACCAGGAGCGTTTTGATTTATTGTCATGAAAAAGAAATAATGCCAAAGCTGCAGCTTGCCTTAACACAAAGAGAGGGGAGGTGAGACTAGACAAGAGGGCCTCAATTTGCTCAGGAATCAGTGGGGATTCTTGCAGGAGCCACTGCTGGGAGTCCAGAGGCTGCCAGAGGACAGTCTCAGAGCCTGGGTTCTTCTGTGCATAGTCTGGCCCAGCATCAGCAATTCAGCAAAGGGCACATGCATCGAGGCAGCACGGGGGTGAGGGTGAACCTCCTCAAACTTGCTCACCAACCCCCCGGAGCTGCAACTTACGGACTCAGAACCTTTGTATTCAGTCATAGGAGGGCTTGGCGTGATGTATAAATCACATTACATCTAACAGGCAGGAATGAAGGCCAGATGTACACTCGTGAAAAAATACACCCCACTGAATTCTTAAACTTTTCCAACATACTTCAACATACAGATATGTGATCATTTCAACAATATTGATAGATAAAAGGGGTCTTTGTTAATGGACATTGGTTTTTATCTCAGTGTAGTTTTTTGTCCATCATCCTTGCCCAGCTTCCCCTTTTAATCTCTCTCCAAAAGCACTCATTTCATTACCAGTCCAGCAAAATTCTCAAGGATTTTATCTTAGTGCACTGCCATACAGTATGAATCTTTTATTCTGCAATTACTCTATCTCATTCACTGAACCATATGAGGAATCCAAGCAAATATTGTTTCCCATATTTTCCGAACATTCCTTCTCTTTTCTTACTATCAAAATAATAAGGGAAAGATGGAGATAGTTTCATAATTATTGGATTTAGGTAACAATCTACGCCATAATTGGTTTAGTGGTTGTTTGGTTTGGCTCAGTGCACTGAATAAACCCATTCATTGTGTTCTGTAAACTTTAGGACATGAAAGACCCAGGCACTTTTTTGTGGCTGGCAGTTCTAAAAATATTTTTTAATCTCTGGAGATATGGTGCTGTTATGCTGACAACACCGGAGAGGAAAGGTCCACACTGAATTGTTTCACTGGGTTTTGTTTTGTTTTAAAAAGCCAATGTAGATGTATTAAACCCAACAGATTTATACCTGTGTACACACACATACACACACACACAATAAAACAGTTTGCAAAGTGCAGGAAATAAGTTAGAAATAGTAAGCCAAAATAAAGATGTGAGATAAGGAAAGTAAACATAACTAAAACTACAACTTATGGACTCAGAACCTTTGTATTTAGCCATAGGAGGGAAGTAGCTTATACCAACACCATTCATACACTTCTCCATGCTTTTCTAAACTTGCAAACTATTCTTGTTTCACATATTGTATGTGAAACCTTCACACCTCTCTCTCCTTTTGAGGATCTCATCAACTCCATCCAACTAACTCAACCCATTCATTCTTCTTTTATGTATTTCTTTTGCAACATGATCCTCAATTCATTCTGTCTGCATGACCCAACCACCTCAACGTACTTCTTTTGTACTGGTCACTCACTTTTGTATTGAACCCATGTTCATTTGGCAGCCATTCATTCTTAATTCTATCTCTTCCCGTTTTACCACATACTGTTCCCAATGAATTCAAATTATCTCTGTTTCTCCTAGTATACCCAACTCACTCGGTGCCATCCACAATGGCCGAAATAATCATATGTGCATCACAAAAACTTGATACAAACTTTG